CACGCTTCGCACGCTTCGCACGCTTCGCACGCTTCGCAGTTCGCACAGCCCAGGAAATGGCGAGCAAGCTTCTGGGAGTGGATCGGAAAGCTTTGGAGTCAGGGGCCTGGCCAAGCTTTTCCTGCCTGTGAGAAAAAGTGAGAATGGGGTGCTTAAAGAAAGGCTGGAGGGGAGAAGCTCTGTTGTTTGCATGCCACTGAGCAAGCATGCTCATGGAGCATGTGTTTGCCTGCCCCGAGTCGCAGGGAGGCGGCCTCGGCAAGAGTCTTTTTTCATGTATTCTTGCTTCGTACAGGTTTCCCTTCCCTTTCCTAGAGGAATCCTATCCTGAGTATGATTTAAGGTAGATGTATTTCTGCACTCCTTTCTTGAACAAAGGGCAGGGGTCACAGGAGAGTCAGTAAATAGTTTTCGTGCGGCCCACTCGGCACAAGGGGGCGCGGCTTGCTAGCACTGAAGGGACCTTTTACAGTTCTGCGCCGACAGCGCAGTCGGCAGACAAAAACCCCGAGGTCGGATTTCAGAGTTAGGATCCGTTTTCCCCGTTTTGGAGACGGGACGAGCGCAAGTCCGAGTCCAAGCACAGAGGCAGCCACGACTGAGCGATTACGCTCTCGTCGTTTCACTCAAAAGTGTGATTACGCTCTAAGAAGTTTCCGCCCCCCTTCTCAAGTTCTCAGCACGATGCGATCCATTAGCAGAGTCCCCCTCCACCCCAACCCCCCCCGCAAAAAAAAAGAAAAAGAAAAAGACATAAAAAGTCAGGTCTGCGCTCTGCAGTCAGACGCGGGTCACTCGCAGTGAGAAGATTCGGAGCCCGGTGAACGTGCGCCGGGAGCCTTGGAGCCTTGGAGTGGAGCCAGTGGAGCTTTGCTGCCACCTTTGCCAGGCCAAGCGGCGGACAACCGAGACGCGCTCGCCAAGGCGGTGTATGGCATCGTCTTCAACTTCATCGTGTCGGGAGCCCGGGGGAGCCCGGGGGAGCCCGGGGGAGCGGAGAGCTGGGGCTTAGATGCGGGGGATGCGGACTCTTGTTGTTTCGCTCCTGAGGCAGAGTACTAACATGTCCATCGGCTATGTTGAGGCACTGGCCTGACTAATGCTGTCTACACATGCAAGCCGCACCTCAGACCTCGCCTCGGCGATTTCGTCTCCAGGACGTGAAGCTGTTCGCTGGCGTCCTGGACATCTTTGGCCTCACGCTCAGGGAGGCAAAGCGCGGCTTTGAGAGCGACCAAGCCCTCACCGAGGCTTCGAATGCTTCAAGATGAACTCCTTCGAACAGCTTGGACCCCACCAAGATTACGGGGGAAAAGCATAGCAAGCGTAGCAATGAAGGCGATGCGGCTTCTTTTGCACCTTTCGTGCAAAGGCTTTGCATTAACTTCACCAACGAGCGGCTGCAGCAGTTCTTTAATTCCTTCGTCTTCAAGCTGGAGGAAGCCGTAGAACGCTGCCTTCAGAGAGTCACCCTGAGTCTCTGTGCATGTGGGCGCAAATCAGCCCAAGCAACCTCTGCAGGAGCAGCTTTACGAACGAGAGGGCATCGAATGGGACCCACTCGATTTCCCTGACAACCAGGAGTGAAAGAGCAGAGTCAAAAAGGGGACGAAGGAAAGGTTTTCGGGCTGATGTTTTTTTTTTCAGCGCGTCTCAGGATGCCGTGGACATGCTTCAGGCAAAGGCGCAGCAGCGATGGAACGTCCCGCAGATTTCCAGTTCGGCAGTTTTCTTTCCATGCGGCCCAGGGCACCGGGGTCTTTGCGATCCTGGACGAAGAGTGTGCCGGAGGGCTCGGAGCGGAGCGGAGCGGAGCGGAGGAGAGCGCCGCTCGCCTCGCTTTTTGCTCTCTCTCAGGTGGTTCCCCAGGGCTCAGACCAGGGCTTCAACAACAAGCTGATCAAGCAGCATCGAGGCCCGGGCCCCCGAAACCGCCGCCCCCCCAATGGCCACACCTCGCCCGAGTCGCTTTCTTCGGTGAGGTCACAGGCGCTTCGACGAGATCAAGACCAAGCCATCCTGGCACCTCGGCGTGTTGTGATGGTGCTCACAGCTCAAAGAGCTGCTCAAAGCTGCTCAGATGCAGGTTTGTGATCAAGCACTTTGCCGGCCCTGTGAGCTACTGTGCGCCCGAAGCAGGATCTCTGTGTTTTGTCTCTGCAAAACTTTGCAGTCGAAGGCTCAGACGGTTTCCTGGACAAGAACAAAGATCAGCTGAGCAACGACGGGATCTGAGATTTTCTTTTTGCCAGCAGCCTGTATTCTCTTCGGCCTCAGGACCTCATTGAGTGCATGGGGGCGAGCACCAATGAGTTCATCGTCAGGCTTTTCAGACAGGACCACTGCCCCTTCCGAGGCTCTCAGGTGTTAGGGGCGTTGAAAACATGCATAGAAAGCTCCAAGGAGGCCAAGAGCAAACTCGGCCATTTCATTGCTTCCAGCCGCGTCTGCGCCTCCTTTCCCGCTTTCATCCCACGACACTCTGATCTGCTCATGCTCCCGAAGACCCTGGAGGATCCCCTCCGCTTGAAACTCCGTTTTCAAGAGTCGTTGCGATCAAGATACAATTGTCGGCAGGTGATTGCATCGTTCTGAGTGATTGGGTCGCGTTTGCTGGTGATTGAGAGATTGCTTGATTCGTGAGTTGCATCTAGGCACAGGGGACCATCCGTTTGCTGTGTGCGATCGTCCAACGAAGCGGCCACAGGCTGATCACCCTGACGTACCTGCCAGCATGAATGCAATGTAACTTGCGATGTTCAATGCTTGTCATGTGAGGCATAGTGCAAGTGTCCGTGCACAGGTGATCGACTGTCTGACAACCGAAGTGAATGCATTCCGCTTCTAGACAGTTGATTCGAGACGCCGCGACACGTTGTGATCAACAGAGAGGGCTGCCTGCCATCGCACTCATGCAGATCATGCGTGTAAATGAATTCAGGAACTGTTCCTATAATTCGGTCGCGGCATTCAGGAACACACTATCGCAATTCGGGGCGGGAGCGGCGGAACTGATAAATTCAACATTCAAGACCTGTGCAGGATTTCGGCTGAGGGTTTCGGCCTTGAGCTTCAGGGTTTTGGCCTCAGGTTTGAGACCTTGAAGCTTCTGCCTTGGGGCTAGTAACAAACCAAGAGGTAGCAACCCACACGAAACCCCAACACCAAGACCCCCACCCGACGAGCCTTTTGCCGGAGGGAAGCTCCAAACGCACCTTGTGTGCTCGAGCCATCAGCCTGCGGCGAAGCCGCTCGATCATCCTGTGCTGAACATGCAAGGGGGTTGCCATAGACAGCACTCCACCAATGATCGGCATTACGAGGTTTGGTCTGGATATCAGCAAGCTGATAGGAAGTAGGGACCCGGCCCAAGCTGCATCATGAAGCACCAGCAACGAGGCCGCAACCAAATGCCTTTGTCCTTGTGGTCCGATGCCGTGCGAGCAACCAAGTTGGTGAAGCGAACATCTCCAGCCGTAGGCCGCTGTTGAAGCTGTTGCGACAAAAGACCCCTGATTGTAAGTGTGGTCGGGACTATGAAGCGAGCCAAAGACAAGGCACTTATCAACGGGAACCTCAAAGAGTCGTCCTTCAGCGTAGGCCTGTCGAGAAGAAGACTCCTTCACTGGAGACCGAAATTTGTGACCCAAGATACTCGAAAAATTGTCCATTTCCCAGTCACCTATGGGAAAGATGCCGGACAAGGCACTGCGGATCGCCTGGTCGGGTCCCCAACGGCCATGAGGTCATCAACATGGACCCCGATGTATCCGTTCGGATCCCCGTCTGAACCCTCTTCAATTGGAACAAGTTGAAATAGGCATGGATCAAGAGGGTTCTGCGTGAAGCGGTACTTTACTTCGAGGATCTTAATCGTGAGCCCTAAACATGATCTTTAAGTCCGCGCCACCATTAACGCGGGGAGTCTGGGAGCCCAAACTCACCTTTGGTGATTCGATTAAATTGTTCTGGATGAAGTCTCACGCTTTGGTATAGTTTTGCCCGCCATGGTAACTCCTTCTCATACTGCTTAGCGAGCGATTTTTCCGTGATACAGCGCTTTACGCTGGTGGAGGCACCGAGGGGGCCGGAAGTCCACGTCGGCTGGCCGAATCTCCTGGTAAACTGAGGTCGCCGTCAGAATTTCGATATCAGACAAACCATGCTCACCATCCAAGTCATCCTGAAAATCCATGTCAGCTTCATGTTGTGGATCTTGTCTGGGATCACCAACGTCACCTTCGTCATCAGCTTCGCCGTTATCCTGATCCCAGTTCTGCTCCCAGTTCTGCTGATAAGGGGATCGGGGTCAAGATGGAGGAGTCTCTCAAGGTCATTTCTTGCAATGCGGGTGTTCAGGAGATCGCCTATCTCTTGGGCCGTAGATGGACGAAGATGTTCTCCCACCAGTTACCGCCCTCAGATCCTATGATGGTGCCTGGACCTCTGCATTGACCTCGCTTGTAGCAACCTTCTCAATCCGGTAGAAGCACACCAACGCTCCGATCTTGTGCCCGACACGCTTGACCTGGCACGCTGAAGCACGGATCGACGAGTCCTAAAGAATGCCACCCTAGCCGAAGTGCGGATGCCAACTTCACGCTGGCGCTGCTTGTCATGAGTCATCAACTCGGTGAATCTCTCCTCGTCGACGCCGAAACAAAGCTCCTCCGGGCACGGGGATCACGGCCGACAGCGGCCTGACTCGGAGGGAAACCATGCCTCCTCCTAAGTTCATTCTTCGAGCCATTCACCGCCTGGATGGCAAGATCTGTTCTCTGCAATCGCATGGTCAATCACCGACAACAGCTCATGCCTCACACGACCAGAGTCGAAGACATGAAAAATGCCAATGCCGACGAGTTGGTTCATGTCGAGAAGAGAGGGCAAAGAAGCTGCTTGCCTTCAGTACTTCAGATTCCGGTCCGGCAACACGTAAATGTCTGGTCATGTCCTGCGCACTAGGATGGCCTAAGTTCTGATGGAGGCGCCCAATGTGCAGCTTGAACATGCCGTGGGACTCTGGCCTCAAACTTGATCTTATTCGCTACAGGGCAGCCGGAGCCCCCAACCGACGTCAGTGACCGACAGCCATGGTCAGCCCCTCGGTCCGTTTTCCTGCCTGCCCCGATGTTTGCGCAACGGCTGAGTGGCGTGCGCGCGCGCGCGACGAAAGCACGTAGGCATTTAAAAGACAACCCCATCCCCCCGAGCACCAACAGCGCATGATCACCAACCAAAGCGAGCCGGGATATATCCGAAGCTGGGCGAGGGTTCCCTGGACCCTCTGCGGGGGGAGTGGTAACAAGCCACCGCGACTGCCCGCCGAGCAATTGCGCGCAATGAAGATTTCCTAACGTGCTGTGGCGTGCCGAATACACGGCCACCGCTTTACGTCGTTGACTACGAGACATTCAAACCAGCGGAGGGTGCGCCTCTCTGCTCGTTATGCTGGGATATCGTACTGCGGCGGGTTGGGGCAGGGCTGCGAAGACTGGGATCCCCACAACCTCTGGCTCCAAGCGAGCTCAGGCGTGCAGCCAGGGTCGAGATATGGATTCTAACCGCTCCCCCCCAGCATCCGCGAGCTTCACTTGTAGCTCCGACTATCTTAGAGAGAGCCGGAGACCCTCCTAGGAAAAGCTAGATAAATCAATCTCTGGTATCCCCCTAGCTTCGGCCTTCGGCCCCAGTCACCGTATGTCGGCCGCCCCACCTGCAACACTGGAAGCACTGGACCCGGGCGTCATCGGTCGAACATCCGAGGTTGAGCGAGACTGCGTGTCCACGTCTTCCCGGGCGACCGCCTGGCACCACATCTAGCTTCCCAGTCACGGCTCCCCGCATCAACGTTCTCCACGTCGAGTCCTTGATCACGTGGTGGGCCTTGCTCCTCTGAAGATCTAACTCTTGTCCTAGTAGAGACGAACGATCCATCGCTTGGCCGTCCATAACCTTCTCCCGCGCGTCTTCCTGAACCAACCCAGGCGTTCCCCTGGCCAACCTTGTAGGAAAGGGGCGTCGCGTAAAGCTCGACGTCCTCCTCAACACCTCTCACACACTTTGCCAGGAAGTCCATCCATGACTGATCCATCGTCGCCGATGGCATCGTCACCTTGCCCATGTGGGAGAACGCTTCGGCTGCGCAAAGGACTCAGAGGAAGGCTATGTCCACTTTTACCCGGTGACCGCGTAAGGGTGCGGGCCGGGTGGAACCATTCCCGCTGACAGACAGCGACCCAACCATCGCGGCCATGTGCGTACTTCCGCAAGAACCGCTGAGACGCTGGCACCGGTGACATAGTCCTGAGAAGATTGAGTATCTCTTACGAAGCCAAATGTAAAGTCGAAACACCGTCGCATCTTGCGCAAGCCGCGTCAACAATCATCATCAGAGTTTTCCGCCGCTGACCAGGTTGTTCACCCACATCAGTCATCGCCGTAGCCGTCATCTCAATCCAGTCCTGGACCTGCAAAGAAGCCTCAGCTCCTCCCCGTGGAGCCAGACCGGTGGTGCCGGCCTGAAGAGCTGCGCCGTTCTGTGGTCCAGCACTCTTGGCGAGGGCCTGAGCTTGTAGTTCCTGCAGCTGCTGAAACCCTAACTTCTCTCCGAAGGTGGTCGAGGCGACGGTGATCTGGCTCCTCGAGGTTCATGGCCCGGGCGGCATCGTCACTGTTCCGTGGCCTTGTCGATTGCGCCACTTGCCGGTGGCGCTGCTGTACCATCAATAGCTAAGTTGGCTGAGCTCCTTGGGCGCTCATAACCTGTTGAAATCCAGAGACCCAATTGCACCAAAGGCAGCTGCCGGGTGGATTATAGCGCCTCTAGAAGACAGAACATGGGCGCGCGACTTGGTAGTTTCTTTACACCGCACAACGATTGAGTCCTGACTGTCTGCTCACCGGTTTGTACACATTCTGAGCTGTTGCCATCAGGCCCAAATCTTTGCAAGCTCTTCAGTACTGTAACATGCTGCTTCAGCTTCTATCGGTCTAAACAATCCTTTACAACGTGGCAAAAGGGGCCTTACTTCGTAGCCTTCCCCGTGATCGCAGAGCGACCGACGACAGCATCATAGCATCACTGCAAGCTTCAAAGTCGGGCAACACACCGCTCGAGCCTCGACAGGCAGTGCAGACTTCGGATCAACGCACCATTTGCTGAGGCCGCTGCACCTCAGAAGACCACCTCAACTCAGGAGGCAGGCTGGCTGACGCCGGAAAACAAATGGAAATACCTCGCGTGGAGCCCGCAAGAAGCTCATGCCGACGATGCAGGAGCCAATGCACCATGCGGCCCTTCAGGAGGTAATGGGACAGATATCCCAGGACTCATCCACCGCTTTCACTCGCTCAGACCTCTTCGCGAGAATTACCAAACCGAGGCAGTCATAATGCTCCTGACTCTCTCCATCCGCCCGAGGCAAGCAAGCTTTATACCCTGTTCAGCAAGATTCAGGACCTCTGGGCGACGCAACTCATCGGCCTGCGACTACGTCAAGAAAGGGCCGAGGCTCTCAAGAAGGCAAACAAGCGCTGATTGCATCTTTCAGGCGCGGATCCCGGACAAGGGCTCATCATTATCACAGCCAAGTGCACTTGGCTCGGAGCCGACAACCGGCCCACAACTTAGCTCCAAAGTTAACTCGGCCCCGTCTTGGGAGCCGTTGGGTCTCACAGCAGCGTATGGCTCACAACCTAGACCATACGCTGCTGGTACAACGGGGACACTGGGGACTCCTGCCGATTCCCAGCAGCGCGGCAAAAAGAAGTCCATTCGGCAAAGCTCTGCATCTCAGCTGCCAGCGCAGGTTGAGCCGCAAGCATCAGAATCGCACATTGTTTTCAAGAATAGGCACAATCGGTGCTACGTCAATTCTGTTGCGCTGCTGCTCCTGAAAGCTGCAAGCTGTACAGCTGGGTCACTAGGCGACATACATGCAGCGCTGAGTGACTTCGACAGGTCCAACGGCGTCGACCTGCTGCAGCATCCTTCCTGGGTCAGGTTACTTCGAGGCTGGCGCCAGCCTCGACAACAACATGACGTCACAGAACTATTGCATTTCTTGTCACCCCAGCTGAATGGTGCTACGCTAACAGGTGCCTGGGCTACAAACAGACCAACTTTGGCGGACCCTTGCCGCCTACGTAACGATGTATCTCGAACGCGCCAAATCGCTACAGGAAGTGATTCAACATTGGCGCGGCACTCGGCCGCTCAATGCACTTGTCATGGCGCCAGAACTGATTGTCATCAGCCTTGCCCGATTCCAATACCAAAGAGGCCAACCACGCAAGCTGAGGCAGAAGATGGATGTACATAGAAATGTTTTCCTTCCCATCTTCAGGTCTCACCGAGGACGCTCGGCCCCGGCTAGGGAGCCGCCTGAAGATCGTCGGGATCGGTCGTGCGAGACTGTTGAGGTGCCGTATCAGCTCCTTGGCGGCATACTGCACATTGGAGACCGAGCCCACACCGGCCATTATCGCATGTTTGAGATACGCGATGTCTCCAGGGAGCATGACCAACTTGCCCCAGACGACCTGCTGATACACGATGACAATGTGCCGCCTGCTGTAGCCACTAGGGCAAACCTGGTACAGATTCAGCACAATGCCTATGTGCTTCGTTTTAGGAAGATCTAGTTGTATAGACGACGCCACGGCGCTCTGTACTTTACTCGAAGAAGTGTGTGCAATGCTTCGGCACCACACTCTCTCCTGGCGAATATGTTCCTGAAAGGGACCGCTCGCTAGACACGAGACCCTTCGTGCAGCGATTGAAATGAAAAAAAGTAAAATATTTGCCCCGGGTTCGGCTGAACCGTGGTTTCTTCTTTTCAGCCAAACACTTCAAGGCTTCGCCCATGAGCGTGATGAACCCTTGAATCTTCGAAGGACGTAAAATATGGCGAAGTTCTGAACAAGGCAGACCTGCGCTAGCGTTGAGCCATTGCCGCATTCCATGAGATGTGAACAACATCTTTCTCGAAGGAGGAATCTTCAGAGACCGGTACCGGAAAGAAAAAGAAAAAGTACACGGTCTGCTGCTTAAGTCTTGCGCTGGTCGAGACATTTAAACTTCAGCATGTCCCAGCATGCCATGTTCCTGAATTGTTGTCTGATGGCTGAAGGTTTCATCGGAATTCAAGGCCCGTTCTTGCAAGCATGGCATCACAGCGCGGCGGACGCATGTTGGAGGATCAGTTGGCCTCACTTATGGACATCGTTGATTTGACGGAGCCCCACTTCGTGCGCCACGGGCCCAGCCTCGTCGCTGGGCACCAGCCTAAAGTTCATTTGCGACATTCACCCTCATCCCGTCACGTGTCGTGCTCCTTACGCAAGGCTGCATCAAACCCAATCCACAAAACGAGCCGGGGGCCTTGACGATCCTTGACGGATGCGGTCAAGGGCCGCTTTCTGCGCCAGTGCTATGCGAGGCCGGACCGCTATGATCGAAAGGCCGTCACCGAGCAGTTGAGATATGGGGGCGTGCTGCAGGCGGTATCCTTCCACAACTTGTTTCAACTAAAGAAGGGTCAAAGGCCATTTGAGTCTTGGTTTGAGGTGGTGCAAGTCAGCCGAGCTGGCTATCCGGTGCGGATCAACCACCAAGAGTGCACAGATCCCCGGATCTTCGAGCTCCGCCCTTGGCCCGGGCCCACGTTTTTTGCCTGAGGTTGGGACGACTTTAAGGTCATCGCCTCTCCGCAGATTGTCTCAGGCGACAGCGCAGACTTAGCAATGATTTAGCATCTGTTGCCGCTTGAAGGGTTGAAGCACGTGGACGACTCCAAGGCCACGCGCCGAGGGTTGCACCAGGGAATCCCACGGAGCCCGAGCCTCGCGCCTCACGAAAGCCCTCTGTGTCGCTATCACCGGGCCCGGTGTGGGGAGATCGCCAAGAACACGGAAACCAGCGAACAAGGTCGAAGATTTCGGCTACCATGATGCAACGAGAACCATCGAGAACCGTAAGCGTAGGTAATGATATATGCCATCTGCATTTCCAGCTCTTTGCATGATCCGCTATCTGTCGTCATTATTGGCGCGCTGCACACGGGTACAAAGGTACAAGAAACAAAGAGGACGTTTATCTCAGTGGAACCCGTCCATTTCATCGTTGGCGATGCCGGCACCTGCCTGGTCAGCTTGCCGTTAACCGTATTTGCTGAAGACTTGGTGGGAGGTCCGGGCGCAGAAGCTGCTAGAGCACTTGGCCTCAGAGCTCAACGTGCCGAAACCACTGCATGGCCTGCCCATGGCGGTGGGAAAGACGCTCGTGTTCTTCAAGCTCCCAGCATTCGAGCGCTTGAAGCCAGAAACTCAGACATGGCCACATGGCCAGCTCCAGCAAGAGGTGCGGCGGTGCGGCGGTGCGGAAGCCAATGCAAGGTTTGCACGCCTCGAGCTACTCGTCAAGTCTGCGACACAGATCCAGGCCCATGCCGAGAGCTGAAACGTAGAGCGGAAGAGTTCCTCTGAAGTGCAGGCTGCTTGGCGTCGCCGTGTTCAGATGGGCAAGTACAAGGTTCGCTATACATAGCAACGGCTTCTTAGCACCAAATGTCGGGCACCCGCTTGCCAAGGCGATCTGTCTCTTCACACGCCACATTCAGGCGTTGCTGCGCAACTTGCTGGAAATGCAGAGTCGAGTTGCGGAGAATTGGCAGTCCGTGCTAGTTGCAGCCCAGGAAGCAAGCAAGCGCGAAGCGATCTTATGCGCCGGAAGCTGCCGGCTCAGTTTCGGTGGCTGCTCCCTTTGGCTCAGAAACGCAAGAAACTCTGCAGAGACGTGTAGCCACCACAGAAGGCTGCAGCGAGACAGCGCATGACTAAGCGCCCGTCCCTGTTCTGTTGCTGTCATGTGAGGGTGTCAAGCACCAACCGTGGTCACATCGACCCGGCTTGCGTATCCTGCGCTTCCATCAAGCCCAGTGGAAGACGTAGTAAGCCCAAGCAGACCCAAACCCGGAACGTGATCCTGAGAGAGAGAGAGAGAGAGACAGAGCGAGACAGAGCGAGAGAGCGAGAGAGCGAGCAAGCAAGAGCCATACCCGCCCTGTTACCTCATCTTTTAATCTCTTGCTGTAGCTGCCGCGCTTGAGCAGGGAGCTTCGGAGCTCTGCGATCTGCCCCGTCCGGAGTCCTTGAGGGGACCCACCCATCAACCAAGGGGGGCAACATCAAGACACGGCAACCACACGATGGAGGAAGCTATGGCAAGCTGATCATGACACAGACGAAACAGGAGAGAGCGAAATCAACAGGATGAGGGGATGCACCGCCCGCACCACCCGCAGTGCGAGATGGACACAAATGGGTCTTAGACGGGAGCGACACCAGGTCCAGGCCCAGGCCCCAAGCAACGGGGCGGCTATGGAAGCGCACACGTCACTTGGGGGAGAAGGAGAGGCAGTTCCATGGGAGAGCCAAAGACCATTGCACGGAGGTGTGCGGACGGGGCGCGTGCGCGCAGATGGGGCGCGCGCACTCAAGGCTTGCAGCAGGTCGGGGCAGGGCAGTGCTATTTGAACAACCTCCGCAGGGGGCACAGTTCGCAGCAGCCATGAGCTTCACGCAACTAGTCGCATAGCTTCCTCTGCCGCGGGACCGCCTACGAGCGGATTGCATCATCCTGACAGACTGAAGGGCGACAGGCATACCACCAGCGGGGGATCATCTGGGCGGAAGCCACGGCGTCACTTCGTTACCTCCGCATGTGTGGCGGAGCAAGGCGTGCTGTGCTGGGTCGCGGAACACTCACCACCCTTCATGTTTGTAGTCTTTATTTTCATCATGCTCATCATCCTCATCACCAGAATGCTCCTTTTCATCACGCTCGCCCATGCAAACACCGTGTTCCTCATCATCATCTTTCGCATCATCCTAAACACCAAGCAATACACCATAAGAACCATGATGATCTTCGACTATCATTGATCATGCTCACTCTCAGAATCACCATGACCATGATGATGATGATGATGATGATGATGATGACGATGTCCCGACGATGATGATGATGATGATGGTGATCATCATCATGACGCGCCTTTTCATCAAGAATACCCTTTGCAATCACTGCGTTCCTCATCATAATCTTCATTCTAACCACGACAGAAGCACCGTCATGATGATTTTCATCATTATCGTAGTGATCACCATGATGGTTGTCAAACTGCTGTAGCGACCACTGATGCTGCCTCTTCTTTTTCGCTTCTTGCCCTTCCTCAGAACGAAACACATGTGATCAAAACAACCTGAATCCTGAAAGCGCCACTCCAGCATCGAAGCATGCAAGACTGCAGGACGCTGTTGTTTGCAAGAGAAGCCGTCAGTGATGATCTCAGCAACTGCATCTCCCGAAACTTGGCCTTCGCATGGCTGCACCTGTAAACAAAGAAGACATCTAACTGGGGAAAAGCACACACAATCGATACAACAAAAAGCAAGGAGCCAGAGATCCTAGCTTGCATGACAGGAAAAATCATGCCAAGTTGACAACCTGGCACCAAACCAGACAAACAACAAGCCTAGCCGAACGAGGTCTTTGCTTGTCAGCTCGGTACACTCCGGTGGGACCTCCAGAAAGAAAGAAAGACACGGTCTGTGAGGCAGTGAAGCCACATGAACACTTGCGAAAGGCAAGAGGGCGCGGCCGTGAAGCTTCAAAGCCTTGGGCGCCAATTCGTGGAATCTTGGACCATGTCCATTGCGATGGCTTTTTCGCATGAGACCACAAGCCGAGGAACGCAGGAGATACAAAGCTTTGATGAGGAAGGCAGAGAGGGGAGCCTGAGGTGGCCTTCTGCCTGCGTGCAGAACTCTCTGAGGTTGTAAAGATCCAGGCCTGGCACAAAGGCATCGAGGGGAAAGGGCTGTACAAGAGAGGTTTCCACGAAAACTTGCTTGTCTCGCTCCCTGCATCTTTGCTTGAGGCATCTGCGGACGGCGCTATGCCAAGGAGCCTCGCTGCGTTTCAGGTGAGCGGAGGATGCGTTGTGTGGCGATGTGGCGAGGAGTATCGGAAGGTGGCTTCGGCGACGCGCATCCAGCGGAACTGGAAGCGTTGGAAGACGCCGCTCAGTGCCTTAAGTCCCCGTGTCTCGGCGGCTGTTAGAGTTCAGAGCTCGAGGCAGCGGGTCTACAAGCTCTTCCGCCAAGCGGTCTACGTGGCGCAGGAGAAAGGGCCGGAACGGAATGGGCCGGAGGGACGGAGAGAGGGAGAGAGGCAGCAAGGCAGCCTCGCCCCTTCTTGCGGCCACTCTGTCGCTCTTTGCGGCAAGCGCAAGCGGAGGAGCGCTTGCGGATGCACGCGGCGAAGAGTCAGATGAAGAAGCTGAAGCAGGAGGCCAAGGAGGCACGCGGGGCTCCTCCCGGTCCCGGGGGGGACTTGGGCCGGTGTACCCGGTGTACCGTGTCTTTGTGCTGCGCTTCGCCGCTTCCGGCAGACAGGGCAGGATCTCGATGCAAATCGACCCAGTTCCTCCCATCCTCTTGACGGCCTCAGACGAGACTTTCGAGAGCAAGCGCCGCGGCTTGAGCGTAAAGGGCCATACTTTGAGGAGACGCAGGTCGCGCAGAGCACGCGCAGAGCATGCGCACTCCGTGAATCCTCGTGACCACTGGAGTTAACCGTTTTCGTAGCTCGAGCTGACCTGCGAGCTCCGCGATGTTGATTTCCTGAGCGTTGTGAGGGCACGTCAGCGTTCTCTCTGCCGCTCGCTGTGTTCTCTTTCTGCGCCAGGTCGGCGCGCTCGGACCTCGGACCTCGGACCTCGGGGCCGGGGCCGGGAAAAGTCTCGGAGTCGGAGCTTTCTTCCTCCGAGGCTGATGGCCAAAAGCCAAAAAGCCCAGGCAGAGACCTGCAGAGACCTGCATCCAGCTCCGTCCGGCCTTTTTCAGCAATGGCTGAGGAGCAAGCGACCAGTTTGCGGAAGCGGAACGAAGAGCGGGAGCCTCAGAGATAAAGGCAGCGGGCGGATGCGGGCGGAAGAGCAAACGCCCAGTTCCGCCCAGAACCGCACAGGCTGGAAGCAGTCCAGTTGCAGCTGCAGTCGGAGAAGCTTTGTGCTCAGACTCAGACATACCCGGAAAGCTTCAAGCTTCTCGTGTGGCACGTCAGGAAGAGCCTGCAAATGCGGGCCCGGGAACCAACGAGAGAGCGAGAGAGGGAGAAATGGAGAGGGAGATAGGGAGAGAGGCAGAGACGTCTCTTCCGTTGCTTCCTTAGGTAAAAGAGCTGGAAGAGTCTTTGGAGAAGATGAAAATGCAGATGGACGAGGCCTGACTCAGGGAATTTCCGCCTTTCCTTCCTTTCCTTCCTTTCTTTTCCATGTCCTCCCGGCCCTCTGAGTGTCGCCTCCTCAAGTCAAAGGGCTTGAGCTTCTGTGCGAGTTTCAGCTGACATGGTTACAGTCTCAGGGGCTTCGGTCATTGGAGAACGGATCGCAGCGGAGAAGCCAAGTATCGTCTGTTATCCTGATATGCCAGCATGCGTGTATGGATGCCATCATACGCCCAGGAAAGTATCGAGGACCAGAGTATTACCAGGAGAAGATCTCATGACAATCAATCAGTTGTTGAAGCAACGAAACGCGAACATGAATGTATTGCGACGGATGCACAGAAGAGAAATAAGGTCAAACTCACGATGCATGTGAAAGCCGAGCGGCAAGTGCACAGGAAGATATTAGGCGAAAGAACTTGGCACTGGACAAGGGAGGAGGGATTCCCAGATTCTTATCAGGTTGAAGAGTTACTCACCTGTTGGTATCACTGTTGCTAACTGAGATCCTCGTCTGGACTCAGGTTCAGATGCAATACTGGTTCCGAAAAAATCGTGACACGGCACAAGGTACTTCCACTGGAAGAGCCTGTGACTGTCAGTGAGCCAGTCGACTAACATCACATTCTGTTGTTAATGGTACTTGTGTTGACACGACAGAAAGACCGTGAAGTGTAACACTTGTCGCGAGCTGAGAAAAGTCATTGGGAATCTCAGATAACCGTGGAAACAGCGCGGGAACTGATGCGCAGCGGAGCGTGTCATTGGCTTACGGTGCTGCCGGGCAGAGCATGATGGACAGCGGAGCCCCGTGCATTGATTATCAAGGCAGAAGCCTTGGTGCGGACTATTATGATCTGTAAAGGTGGTAGTCACTGGAATGTCGGCGGGTTGTATTCGTAGTTCAGAAGGAAGACTTGTGGGTACACTGCGGAGGACAGTCGAAAAGATCTGTACTGTAGGTTCTTACACGCCACTTCAGGAAGTTTTGAACATTTTACGATTTGTAGCAACGTCGCAGACGGGGTAGGAAGGAGGAATGTCAGAGGGGCGCAGGGGCACTCCAGAAAATGCACACGGAAGAAAAACCTATGGATAGCACCAGCAGTGGGAAAACCACCGGAGCAGGAACGTCTCCAACATGAAACGGCTCATATGTCGAAGCTTGAAAGCGAATTTTTGTGCGTGCCGTGCCTGACCATACAGCTAACAAGGCTGCATGCTCCTATCGCGGGCATTTCGTATCCTAATTGTGATGCTGGCGCCATGAAAACTGCCGCAATGCATATCCGAGGACAAAACCCAAAGTCCAAGACACGTGGATGAAGTTTCGTATGTAGCACCTTGTATTACTCGTCGAAGCTCTCGTGGAAACTTGCAGGACGATGAACAGGAAGACCCATGACAATGGCAAACGATCTCGGACCACTCAGCTCCGAAGCATACCGAAGCAGATCCTACCGCATTGACGAATCATGATCAGGCAGCCAAGCGGCTCCAATATCAGGGGGTTTAGGGTGGAAGGCTTGGGGTTTGGGGATCAGGGTTTGCTCCATATGTTTTTCAGGTTTCTGGAAAGCAGATGTTCCTTCTATACAAGGAAGGGTCTTCGGATGTGTTTCTCGTTGGGTCGTCTACGTAAGCACGGTGATTGTTGGGTCGTCTTCGTAAGCAGGGTTTTCGCTGGGTCGTCTTCGTACGTATGATGTTGGGTCAGGTTTTGTTGGGTCGTTAGAATTAGATGACGGCCTTAACCTTAGACCATAACCCGTGAATCCCTCAATTTAAATCCGCAGAGCCGACGAAACCCAAAGCTTAACTCACAGGTGAAGTCGTGACCTGGTTCCTCTTGTGGGAAGCTGCTGGTCTCAGTCTTTGCGCATCACCAACCAAAGAAAAGACATTGACAAAAAAAGGAAAGAAAGGCGAGAAGGACAAGGTGAAGATGAAAAAGAAGAAGAATAATAATACTGAAAATAATACTGAATCATCGGATGCTCTTTCTTCGGATCTGTCGTCGCCGGACTTCGCACTCATGGCTGCGGACATGAGCTGAAAAGGGCCAGCAGGGTCGTGGGGAGTGGCCCAAGCTTCGTCGTTGGGTCGCCTTCGGGAGTAGGGTTCGGAGTTTGTCTGGATCGGCCTCGGAAGGTCGCAATTGGGAAGATTTAGAAGTTATCTTGTGTAGTGCTCCCGAGCCACTCCCTAGCTGCTTCCCAGAACGTTACTCCCGAAGCACCCAATCGCCAAAACGACATATTTCTATAGACAGAACACCTCCGCACCGAGCACCAGAAAAACACCCTGATTTGCAGAGAAATATCACAGAGGCGACAATTTGCGACAGTGCAATTTCGAGTGCATCGTAGTATGACGATTGGCCGCTGAATGCCGATTGTGGGGGCTTTTTCTTCTCTACTTTCTCCCACTACACGCCGTCTGAAGTGGCAAAACCACCCAAACCTTTTCCTTGTCCAGCGATTTACACGGTGCTTAGGGAGGGAGAACGTGTTCCGGGTCCGACGCGACGTGGGTGCGCGGTCCCCATGGCTGTGGGGAGGCGGCGGACTGGAGTACTGGTCGGCTTTTGCGATCTTGCGGGCTAAAGCGCTGCCCACACCACAGCAGAGTTTAGGGTTAATGTTTGGTTTCGGGGTGGGGCGTCAGGAAACATAGCCATAGCCAGGACAAAACTGCCGGCGTGGGGTTTACAGGGCATGGCTGCAGCTGCGACATTGCGTGCTGCCAGTATAGGCCATAAAGCGGCTTAGGGTTTAGGGCTCAGAGTGCCGTTTTTGGGTTACAAGGGCTCAGGTTTTGGGGCGTGAAAAGGGCTTCGGCGGAACAAATGGTTCAGGGAGCAAAGGGCTCAAGTTTTAAGAGGGTTTAAGGGTTTAAGGTGTAGGGATTTCTAGGTCTAAGGCTTAGGGCTTAGGGATTGTAGGGTTTAAGGCTTTTAGGCCTTGCGGGTTGTACGGCTTAGGGCTCAGGGAGAAAAGGGTTCATAGAGCTTGCGGGTTATAGGATGTAGGGCATGCGACTATCTGGTTTAGGGGTTAAAGCTATAGGGACTAGCGGGTTTGGGGTGCACGTGATATCACTCGGCGTGCTTGCGTGCCGACTTGACGTACGCAGTGTGATCAAGCCGGCGGGGGGAAAAAGGATACGCGGCCGCCACTGCGCTGATCTGCGACCCCTGAGCCTTGCCTTGGCAGGCAGGTCTAGTCTTGCGCCGCACCATGCCTAGGTATTTATGTGATCGTGTACAGTCATCGTGTTAACGTGCTCCGTCGCGACTGCTCTGAAACCCTCTGGGTAATCCTATCCCCCTGGTATTAAGCGTGTGCAGCTTCAATGGGGTATTATCGCCAGCTGAAAACGTGGGGTTTCACTCCTATCGTGTTTAGCTAATACAGGCAAATGGCGATTCTCTCATGTCCCATGTGGGTTCTCTGGGTGGTTCTCGGCCCCAACTGAATAATCTAACTGGAGAATTGAATGATTTAACTAAATTAAATATATCATATCCTCTGGGTAGTTCCCGGCCCCAACTGAATAATTGAATGAAATATCGGGGAAGGCCTGCGGACCCCCTCCAGAGCCCCTCCCCAGGATTTAGATTGTTCAAAGTATTCAATTGGGGCCGGGAATTAAATAAAATAGATGCTGTAAATAATACGCGCAACGCCGATCCAGCGCCAAGACTTCATTGGATAGGGAGTGTGGGTGGCAATAACGGAATCACGAATTGCGTGGCAGGCGCGAGGGATTCGCTCATATCTGTGTCTTGTAGCACACTCGTTGGTGTGGCCAGAATTTGAATCTCATCGACGCAACTTTTGACACGAAAAATCGCAGGTTAGATGTCTTGGGCCGAAGTGACTGGAGTTGACAATGTAAATGTGTGTTTCCCCAAGAGAAAATGCAAGTTGTCAGAGATGCTACACTTACCCTGAGGAAACACGTCATTGGCAGTAGAAGCGTGCAAGTACACGACAACCCGTTTCAACCCGGGTGAAAGGCGTTTGACAAGGCAAAAACGGGTTGTCGCGCACTTGTGCGTGTTTTTTCAAAGTATGATAGTACAGTACGTGCTGTCGCAGAACACGCAGAGGCTAGCACAGCACCAGACATAGCGTCGTAAAGGATGCAGGGGATAGCAGCGCGCTACACCGTCAAGCAAATCTTCCCTGAAAGTCCACGGCTGTTGTGGCAGTCGCAGCTCTCACTTCGCCTGCCGCAGCCACTACGGCACAGTGTCCTCTTGGAAGAACTGTGCCGAACCCACAAGAACGTCTCTTCCCATGAACGTCAACAGCCCCCCCCCGCCCCCCCGTCCCACACCGGAAGAAAAGAAGAGTACGGAAGAGAGGAAAAGAACACATGTAACAAGAACGTCTCCATGAACGTCATCAGCCCCCCCCTTCCCCGTGGCCACCTTAAACCATGTTTATTTGGTAGCTGGGAACGAGCAATTCTCATACCAAAAGATTGATGTCTCCACATGCAGGCATGTAGACGTATTGTGATCGTCAGATACGGATCCCCCCAGCGTTGAAACGAAAAGGTAAGTTCCCCACCTCATGCTCCAAGACAAGCAGAGAGTGCCCCCAAGTTAGTCGCGACAAAAGAAGAGAGCCTCTTTCTAGCTGAGAGCTCTCTTTTACTTCTTGGTAAGTCGCGATTTAATCTTGAGAGGATGGAAGAGACCACGCTCTTAGCAAGAGAGGACTAAGCTCTCCTAGCTTCAAAAAAAAAGTCCTCTGCCTGCCTCGACAAGAAGAGACTGGCTTCTTCCAAGTTAA